AAATTCTCAGAAACGATCATTGCGGGAAAATTGTTGGCCGGGACTAAGATTTTTGAACGATCGATGCGATAAAACGATAGTTCGAGGAACGATAGAAGCGGGAAAATGTAACATTATTTTATATTGGATGTATTCGGGACCGAACAAAACGGACGATGCATTCGGGAAAACGATAGTTCCGGGAACGATGGATAGAGGTTTCACTGTAAAAGAATTCCAAGGAAACACTAGTGAATCCACATAGAACCCAGCAAACTATTGTACCCACTACACAGTTGACTTTAATCTCTACACCTCTGCATCACACCACAGAATGTGACAGTATAATCTTTTAAATATCTGTAAACATATTTAAGATCAACTGCTATAAAATAAAACATAACAATCTTGGTGGATGTGGTACATCTGAATCCACAGGAGTGGGCATGGTATGTTAAGGACCAAGTGTATTTGTGAAATGTGCACACACATGTAAAACGCGTGTACACAGACATCCAGCTCACCTCATGTTCTGCCTTTGTTACTGGAAATGTTATTAGCAGAGGATCCTCCTCCTCTTCTACATCTTTGGCAACCTCAACTTTGATGTTGATGACCTGATTTTCATCATGAGAAGATGTTAGAAATGTCTCACTGTACGAACCAGGTACAACTTCCGGCAAGTTGCTGCAGTTCTGTAAAACCATCACACTGTTATCAATCATGACTGTATTCTCTCATTACATAAAACAGGATACATCTTTATTACAACTGTTCCGCAGTATAACAAACTGACTATTGGTCTGCATAAACATTCTTCTTAATAACAATCAAAATAAAGTAAAAAGTGATAAAATATGTATTTAGCTTTAAAATACTTTCCATTCACCATTTAACTAAAGATAGGAACAATATTAGGTTATTTTACAAAAGATTATTTCATCATGTTACATCACAGGAAACATAAATCGTCCAACAGTTATGAAGTTAAGCCTGTTAAATATTTTAACTTTATTATCAGCCAGTATTAGATTATCGGCTGTGTGTAGTTGCCACCCCATCAAACTTTACTTTCAATTTCGTTTTAACATTCATAAGCTAAAATTTACAGCTGGACTGCATTTCAGTTTAACGAAATGTGGCTTGAGCACGCGTATACTTTGCGTTATCCTAATTTAAAACAATTCAAAAGGCGTGTTCTTTGGCCCTATAGTCGCCTTGAGGCAGAACTCGAAACAACAACAACATGATGTTCATTAAGTACTAACTAACTAACTAGATGGCTTACCGAACCCGAAGGTTCATCACCGAATTAACCAAAGCCCTCCACCGGACCCTGTCCTGGGCCAACAAAATCCAGTTTCCTTCAACTCCTATCTCCCATAGATCCCGCCTGAGATTATCCTCCCATCTACATATAGGTCTCCCCAGCGGTCTCTTCCCTTCAGGTTTCCCAACCAGTACCCGGTGCACACCTCTTGTCCCATCCATGCGCGCTACATGCCCTGCCCATCTCATTCTTCTCGACTTAATCACCCTCACAATACTGGGGGAGGAGTACAGATTTTTAAGCTCGTCATTGTGCAGTTTTCTCCACGTCCCATTGTCTTCCCTCTTAGGCCCAAATATCCTCCTCAACACCTGATTCTCAAACACCTGCAATCTGTGTTCCTCCCTCTGAGTGAGAGACCATGTTTCGCACCCATACAAAACAACAGGCAAGATTATTGTTGTTTTGTATACTTTAATTTTCAGGTTAGTATTAGAATACTAGGTAAAATAATTATTTCATTAAAGCCTAACATCAAGCTCCACGAGTGGGTAGCCATAATTCATATCCGAAGAACCACGCCACAACCAGACGTCATGTTCCCTTATGCTACATAATTTTGTTTACTAATAATGAAGTGAAATATGTAAAGGTTGATATGGATAGTGTACATGTATGAAGTATGTACCTTTTGTGCATGTACACTATCCACATTTGACAATGCAGTTTGATTCCATTCTGACAAAACTAAACCACTACAAGGGCATAGCATAGTTAATTAAGAAGTTATATGAATGTTTTATATCATAACTGCTTTAAAGGTGAATATATTCTTTTCATATATATGAATCAACCGTAAGCATTTTCTGAAATGGATGGAAAATTATAAATGACTTGCACTGTAACAACAAATTCACACATGTGCGTGCACGCACCAATTATCTGAAAACAAGGCTCACCTCAGGTTCAGTCTTTTTTACAGGATAAGCTGATGGCAGGTAAACTTCAGCAGTTTTCATGGCAATGAAATCACGTTCGCTTGGTGTATCCACATCATTTTCTACTTTGATTAGATCAATATTCTGAAAATTATAAATAACTCTGTTAGACAACACATTTCTGCATGTATGCCTGACAATGTCATCTGTCAGTGCTGGAAGAATAAAGTTCAGTTTGTTACATAACAAAAGAATTTACAAGCATCTCCCTGTGGTGGTATATACGAGGTGCGATCGGAAAGTTTCCAGACTGTGTCAATAGAGGGCGAACCGGATGTAGTACGAGCTTCTGCCGCTAGGGGGTGCGGCCTACATTCATAGTGAATCAGTGTGCCAGCCGGCATCATCGAATTAGCATTTGTTTCTTAGTTACGGGCGTTTTGGTAGTGCATTACACCGACCCTCCTGCGCTTTCGGAATGGCGTGTGCATCAAATTTTGCCAAAGACTCACCAAAACGGCTACGGAAATCTATGAAATGCTAAAGCAAGCATTTGGGGAGTGCGCAATGGGTCGTGCACAAACTTTTGTGTGGCATTCACTTTTTAAAAATGGCCGAACCTCTGTCGATGATGCCGAGCGTTCTGGACGACCATCTTCGGGCACAACGCCCGAAAATGTTACGAAGCTCGACGTCGTACCATCAACGACTTGTGCGACATTGTTGGGATAGGCTATGGGACCTGTCAGCTGATTCTAAAGGAAGAACTCCACATGCGACGCATCATGACAACGCGCCAGCGCACACCGCCCTCAAAGTTCGGCAGTTTTTGGCCTCAAACACCATGGCCGTCATCCCGCACCCTCCTTATTCGCCGGATTTAGCTCCGCGTGACTTCTTCCTCTTCCCAAAAATGAAAATTCAGCTAAAGAGAAGGAGATTTGAGACGATAGAAGAGATTCAGGCAGAATCGCAGATGGTGCTTGACAGGCTGACAAAGAAAGATTTCCAGGGATGCTTCCAGGCTTGGCAGCGGCGCTGGGATCATTGTGTTCACTCCCAGAGGAACTACTTCGAGGGTGATGGATGAATTTAATACCTGAGATACGTGTACGGGTTTTTATACGCGCAGTCTGGAAACCTTTTGGTCGCACCTCGTATAATTTGTTGCTTAAGCAACTATTAGTCAATGCACATGTAAAGTAAATCTTAAATATTTATGTTTTTAATGAAAGTTTTGTAAATGACTACTAAAACAATTTAAAAAAGGCACTAATTAATTTCAGAGTTAACCCTCAATGTACAGACAGCTAAGACCTTATCCAAAAGTTTAAGCCATCAAGTGGGAGAAGGGAATACACAAGCAACCATGGAGACTTTTAATTGAGGAGCATGAGTGGAATTTTCTGACCTCATGATATTACTTAAGATGTAATAAATTTTGGTGCACCAAACTGACTGCACTTTATGTGTATTGTATTATGTAACTTGTCAAACTCAGAGCCAAAACCTGATGAGGTAAAACATTATGGCTCCTATGGACTTTGGTTCAATGTATCCAGCAATCAGTAGCCTGGTTGCTAGATGCATGGAAAAACTTTCTAGCAATATCAGTATAAATGAGATAAAAGTCAGTTTCTATTTCTGTTTCCGAAGAACTAAGTACCTCAAATGTCTTTGATACACAAGACAATGATGATACTGTTATAACAGATGAAGCATAGCACAGAAGAAAAAAAAAAGGATACAGTAAATCAGTTCAATGTTTCTGACAGCACACTGAATTGCATTATGTACCCCATGCCATATCAAATCATGTTCTTCATAGAAGCAAACTAATTACTGGACAATATCCATTGTCCAGATTTAATAAAACACGACATTTCACACATTGAAATCTATCTCCGTCTTCAGGTAAAACCTACTCTGTTGGGCCCAATCGATAAAGTGAGGCCCTGTCTTCAGAGACAGGGACTGTTCAATGACAGGTTTCATGGTATACTACCCCTTCTATACATACTTACATATATACATAACTTTATATCCTATTATTTACATTTTACTATGAGTAATTATTCTTGTGGAACTCAGATGACGGAAATAAAAAAAATTAACACACTGATGTCCACCGATTGGGAATTGGCAAGGCAGTTGCAATGGGGGAACAAATGACTCCAAATATTCTACCGCTATTTCTAACACCACCTTTAACCTGAGCTGTATAAGACGGATGCACTGACCATCCCCCATTCTGTGAACACTTGTCACAAATACTTGGTTTCTTTGGTTAGATAAATCAAGTGAACAAGTTGATAACATCTGTTCATGCACACACCACTTACTAGGCTTTCCTTCAGTGAAGGATATATTTCTTCAGCTCTCTGTACCATAATTTTCGGCACTCTCATTGCAACAGACGGCACAATATTTTCTAAATTTAATTCTTGCTCATCACACATGGTGGTTCGTGAGTTGTATAAAAGAATCCTAGTGACGTGGCTTCATACTTCTGATAATTGTATCTAACTTCAAATTTCTGCAGACATCCTGAAAGGAAATGTATTATGTTTAAACACACCGTATTCTTATTTCCAATAGACAGAGGGGCATTTCATTGACAATTAAATCTTTGCTAACATGCATACAGAGATGAGAGTAAGAACGTGCAATATGATTTTCACAGTCTGAATACTTGTAATGAGAACAAAACCACATTATATTGATTGTGATGATGGAGGAATATATTGCAAAATTATTGTTAGTTATAATATAATGTCCTTTATACATAATCCTGGTCCACGATAAAATTCACCACAATCATTTTCCACCATAATTACATTAACATCATGATGCTCATACACTCACACCCCACAAAAGTTACCCATGCATGTTTGAAAACAGGGGCTCATAACATAAAATAATTTCACCCATTCTCTGTCAGATCTGTATCTGTTGTGAACACATAAGTGTGCTGGAAACATTGATAAACTTTATAAACTGCAACAGAAAGGTGTATTATATATAAATTTAATTTGTTACATGAGTCTTCAAGCTGAAATATCACCTTTACCATCAAAAAAATCATACAAAACTTACATAATGCAACGAAATAAATTAAGCAGAGTCTGTTTTGACAAGGTAATAGCTGCTCAGCAGATTAAGAATCTGCCTATATGTGGAACTTGAAACTTCTTTAATCTGTTCACAATTGCAGATAAAAATGTGCCAAATAAATTCAGTCATCACCATAATACCACATTTCTTTTTGGATATGTTAATAGGTCTTCCAAACAATCTCTTGTTTTCAGGTTTTCCAACCAAAACTTTCTATGGATTTATCTACCTCTTCATGTGTCATGTCCATTATTTGATCACCCCAGTAACATTTAGAATTATTGCATTCAAATGTTAATCTTTTGATGGTTTTTTTGTCCTCTACACACTCAGCCGAATGTTACACTTTTCTAACCCAAAAAAATGTTTCATACAATGTGTAAGTGGAGACGAAGAGTTAAGAGTCCACATAAAATATTACATAAAGTTCCTCATCATGCAGTTTTCTTCATCCCCGTTACTTTTTATGTCATAGATCCCAAATTTCTCTTCAGCATTTCATTTTGAAACTCTTCAAATCTATGTTCCTTAAATTACATAAACAGTTCGAGTTTAACATTCATAAAGACTAAAGCACTATACACATTTAATTCTATGGTGTTTACGTGGACAATGTAAGATTCTTACCTTAACCACACAACGCATGCTTAAACTTAGCAGAATTAATAAGATACTTACGATACTATGCACTAACTAAAGAAGATTACGAATCACAAATTATAGCAGACTCAATTGAAAATATAAATCAAAGCCTTTACCACCCAAATCAGATCTATAGGAATATAGAGCAACAGTTTGAAAACATAAAGTTACGTCAAATCACGTGGAAATAAAACAATCATGAGGCTAAACCAACTGTAGTAACGTGTAATACATCGGCAAACAAACGTTGCCAGAAACAGAAGAATGCATACACATCACCAAAGTAAAAATAACTCAATTATGACTATCACTGCAGCCAATCAAGCAGAGATCAAAGCGTAAAAGCAAGGTTATCAAAGATTCAAGCAGCAGAACATGATTTCAACGACTTTACTGGGCATTACAAGCGTACAACACTAACAAAATAAACGGGCTAAAGTAAACAAAATGAGGAATTGTACATATGAAATGAACTGGATTCAGCATAACTGAAGTAACTTGAATAACAAGCGTTACATAACCCACCACATTATCTATTGACGGGACAAATGCGAACACAGTAAATACCAACCTAGAACTTAATAATTTTCAGAATATCTTTGCCACTAATTCCTTTCGAGAAGTCGCAGCAGGTCGACCAACTTAAGTCTCTCACCTCGATTCAGGAGCCTCACAATACATTGGCTTTGTTCGCAATTGTCAACCACATAGCTGTCCGTCCTGCGGGAGACTAAGAACACCAACTGTCCAGAAAAATAAAAGGGTTCATATTCATTCCCAAGGTGTTGCAATTATATTCTGAAAGACTGGAAACCACGCCGTGCAAGCTATAAAAGATGTTTTTTACAAAGGAGGACGTGAACATTTTTGCCAATTAAATATATAGAATGTACAAGAGTCTTATGCAGACCAAAGCTAAAAATTAACACAGGGCAGGAATCAATGAGGAAGTTAGTTCAATATAAAAGAAAGTGGTCGACAATTATACCTTGTACTTAAGTTCCATGCTACTCCCCAAGTAAAGACAAAAGGAATTTCAGACTGTATTCCAAGTCTTGAAGTTCAGTTTGTGGCTTTATCACCCACTCTGCACAATCCGAAGTCAAAACTCAAGCCTACTATAAAGGTTACGCAATTGAAATCAAGAGAATTGCGATCAAACATGCTACATCAAATGCCAGCATGCAAGCAAGTAGTGTGCTTTCAGTCAGATTTTGGCTGACATCTGCTTGGAATGTCACGCAGCCTCTTTACCCAACAACCTTAGACTATTGTGACACTTTTAAATGTGTCTGTGTGACCAGCAGTCCCATGTTAAACTAGGACTGCATGTGGCTAACATTAAAACACTGTCCAAAATTTTTAATGATGACATAATGAACCATGTCATTAAGCCATCTGCCTTCAAGTAGCCACATTCATGCCATAGACAATGAAGAACTGAAAAATCCTAGCAAGACACTGAACTCAAAAGGATTAAAAATGTAAATAAAGCTGAGCCAGATGTTGGCTTCTTACCATAGAGAACTAGGTTTAATCCTGGGCAAATTCAAGTGACATTCATGGTAAATGAAGTGGCACTGGTGAGCATTTTTCTTCTGCTCATTATCATATGAACATTGCCCCATATTAAACCATCACTGCCACAATGTGCAAAATTATCCTCATCAAGCAGTGAATTAGTAATAAGTTTGGAGCTTCATCTCTGACCTCGCACTGGACTGGTCTTACAACAGAAACACTTCTTCTTCCTCAGACTGGCTTCAAATAACGGAGGCAGGAATTACAAACCGATTTGTGCAAGAACTTACATTTATAGTTTTTTTTGTAGTTTAATTGCGTCATGTTTGTGCTTAAATTAATAATTCGAATGTCAACTAATTGTTTTACAGAATACAGAACGACTGATATAAAAAATACAAAACAAGACGAACAACAAAAAGAAACAATCTACAAAAAATGAAAACTACAAAACAAACAAATCAACGATAGTTGCATAATAAATATACATTAGTTTTAAAGACGAAAATAGCCTGAAGATGATGCGGTTGCATTGAAACATGTTGTGAAATAAAATAATGAGCGCTAAAATTGTAACATCGTAATAGCGATGATAAGCGCCAAATTTTAAAGTTTTAGCTTTAATAACACCAATTTTAACAACTAAGTTTGTGTACTGACGGAAATAAATAAATATATTACTAAACTTACATTTAATCATAGCACAGTTAAAGCAAATTGTGAGGTCATCTTTCGTCTCTTTTCCCAGTATTTCAGATAAAAATTCTAAGATAATGAACAGTTTTGTTTTAACCTAAATGGGCCATAAATGTGAGAATTTGATCCTAAAAAGGCTATGAACTGTATTATCAGATTACCAACAAATGGCTCATAGGCTGCATGTTTTGTACAGTCCACATATATATTTATAATAAAGTATCACTCTGCATAACAAGAAAACAGCTGCTGCTTAAATTAAATACTTCATTTTAAGTAAAAAGTTAATAAAAATTGAAATATAGTAATTTCAATAAATTTTCTTCATTTATGAAATTGCAACTTTGAGTTGACTACTGGTACCTTGGTTCCAAAACTACAAGAAATATGCAAGATAATCAGAATCTAAATTAATAAGAGCATAGGTAAGTGTTCACAGGTCACTTCTTGTTTCACGTCACGCAATAATTTTGTATAACAAATATATACAATCTCTTATTGTTGCTTACAAATACACTAAAAATTGTAGTTTATTCCATTTGTTGCTGGCACACTAAATTATTTTTGCCAGTCATTAAAATGTAAAACCCTAAGGGAAAAAGACTGTCTGGGTCCTAAATTCTTGGGCTGGCTACTAATCCTAATAAAAATCTGTCATGCACTTCATTGATGTGTCTCTAGATGATTGCTTTGATTGATAGATTAGACACCACAGGTGTATGAATGCTCACCACTATGTATGCAATTGTATGTCTTCAGATTACCCTTTCTACCAAATAATTTATTACGCACATCACAAATACATGATTGCATTCCAGTATACATGCAATGATGTTTCTTTAGATTATCTGACTGATTAAATGATCATGTCCTCAATGAATGAAAGGAAGAATTCATTCACAAGGGAAAGTATATTAAATTTCTTAAACAGTTCTTTGCAACAGTGATCCCAACCTTTTTTCATCTGTGGCACTAATTCATCAAACACACATAACACCACATCATAAATGTTACCTCATGAAACGGGGATATGAAGCTATACATGGCCATAAATGTGTCCACATAAAAGACTTGCCAAAATAGAGTAGAAGCATACAAAAATAAAACATTACACAACATGAATAAAACTATCAATGAACCTGTTTCTGTGCATAACAAATTCTAATTAGGAAAGATAAGATATTGCCTTTTTCTAACTATAACATAACCACAGGCTATAATTTCTTTAAAAAGATTTATGGCACATGAAACATGGCGGCATGGAGTTTTTTAATACCTGTCATTATTGATCTAATGATATACTTTGGGAATTAAATACTCTTTTAGCATTTGTTAAATTTTTCCTGAACATTCGTAACTCCACATGACATGACTGAATGTAAACAAGCAAAATAAACTAATTTTAAAGTATCTATTTTCAAAACTGGTTTGATTTTTCTCATGGTAAAGCATGATGAACTTAATTTGAGGAAAATACTCTGTTTGTTTTTTTCAAAAGTATATTATTATCAATTTGTAATCTGTTGATCCTACTTTTTCAATTATTCTATTATCATAACCAATTTTTACATTAATACACATTTCATTGTTACCAAATTTCAGTTTTTTTACAACATTTAATGTGAGTTTACTGGTTTTTAACCATTTGTTAAAATCAAGAAAGACATTTTTAATGGAACATTGAAAATAGTCCCTTTCAAGATGATAATAATACTAGTATCATCAGCAAAAAGCGTAGTCTTCATTTAGGAACTGATGGTTAGAGGTACATCATTGATATATATGAGGAAATGCAAAGGACCAAATATTGAACCTTGAGGAGCTCCACGTTTTACAATGGCAGTTTCAGGATCTACTACAATTTGAATTAGGGCATTTCATGTCTATTCTCCGTTTTCTGCCATTATTATATTACTTAAACAATTGCCCAACCCATTGCCATTGGAAACAGAATTATGAACACACAACAAAACAAAATGGATTATCAAGAAACATTTAAGAGTTATCATTAGCAAAAATAACAATACAGAACAGGAATGCAGATTAAAGAGGCCCTTATACTTGGGATAATAATTGTGCAATATGAATTTTTCAGTCATAATTAATGGTGTAGGAGCGGTATTAAGGTTTGCACAATGAACAAACATCATGAGATTGAAATATACTGAGCAAACAGACTTGCATCAAGTTTTATTACACTGCCTAGTGTGAATATAGTGCAATATCTCTTCCTTGCTGATAAGAAATTAGACTGACTCGGCCTGTCATAAAAACCGTGATTATTATTCTGGTGGTTCAATATAAACTTGGAGACATGTATAATATAGTTTTATTGCAAAACTCGCCTGTGAAACTTGCGGTTCCCCAATAACATTTTTCCAGAAACACTGGAAACAGGAAAGACATACTTTTTAAAATAAAGTGTGAATTACCTTCCAGTATTTATAAAATACACTTCCATGTAAAATCTAATAAAGACTGTTGTAACTTTTATTTTTCGCTCATTTATTATTTGGATAGGATACGTGATTTTCTATCTCTACGTTCACATCTTTTTATTCACACCACAAAAATATCCATTTCGTTAGACGTACATGTTGGTTCACCTGTATCACTTAGTGTCTACTGCACTGCAATACCAACATGCAGATTGGTAATATGATGTTGAAAGTTAGCGATAAAATAGACGTCTCATAGTTACTTTGTTCTGCCATCTATTCGCTTCAATTGAGAAACTATTGTACTAACGATTTGGCGGCCAGGTGGTAACAACTATTATCCCATCCCGCAACTTAGACACACCATAGGAGCAACTAGTTTTACAAATCTGAAGACGACTTCAATTTCTACAAGACTGCATGCAGTCTGGTAGAAACCGACATTTCAGATGCACTTCTGAAATCTTACCGACTGGTCTGCAGATGGTTCATACAATAAATTTATGAAAGATACGGATAGATGGCAAGCTGTAGTGCCGTCACAGATACATAAGATAAAGGAGCCGTACAAACTTTATTCATGATGATGTACTAATTTAAAAATGACCGGAAGGCGCAAAGCCAGGATTGCCAAACCTGATGTGAAATATAATTAGATTTCTTTTTAAATGTTAGCGATTACAAACATGTCACTGCTGTTCGTGTTGTAAAGTTTAGTCCCTGTAATATATTAGACAGTACAGGTGGAACGAAAGCATGAATGTTGTCAATATTAAATGTTGTGAAAATAATTCAGTATCTTGTATAAATGAAAAGTACAGATGTTTTTTGTGTTCGTATTCTGTTATTGATAGAGGTCTTGGAAATATTACTGCCAGTGCTAATCGGTATGTGGAAATTCAGTAATTGTAGAAGTACATAATGCAGTTGGCTGTTTTCTGGATTGTAGCGGCTTTTTGCCTGGTCGTCTACCGACGTTTCAAAAGTGCTTGCTGCCGTTATAGTCAGGGCGATGAGATGGAAGCAGCAAACACCTTCGAAACGTCGGTTATCTTCAAACAGACTTGGCGGTGCAGCAACACAGAAGACAGCTATTTTCGTACTCACCGCCGTGAGAACTTCACTTTTATCGATAATTTTCAAGGGAATTTCCTTCAAAATTAGCACAAGTTTATATTTGAGTTTTACATGTTTCTGATTTAAAGTTGTGGGCAGCCTTTGAATAGGGTATGTAACAACTTACTGCAGGAGCTATAACAGAGTGTTGCATATAATTGTTGATGAATAATAGAGTGTTATTACTTTCTTAGAGGTTCAGTACATACTGTGAAATTTTATCAAGGAAGAATAAACTTTAGGCAAAAGTTTGGTGCATCTATTTGCAGTTACTTGAGATGTATCATAATAAATTATTAAGATTTCAACTACAGGAATATAGTGTGGGGATTATTCGTTACCAAGGACAGGGGCTGATTGGTTTCTGATGTATGTGCTGAGTATTAATATGTACTTGTTCCTAGGATTAGGAAACTCTTGTACCTTGGTACTTTCATTCTGGAGTCCAAGCCTAAGGGTACTTACAAGACGGAGCCTAGCAGGTCGTTGGTAGCTGGGAAGGTAGCATAGCAGA